GGTAAAAATACATTGAAATGCATGAAAAAAACTTGAATATATCACCTATCACGTTTACGACAGTATCTCTAGGGGCCTTTTAAATTGTTATTGTTTTAAAATATTGATTTCATTATGATTTATTGCTTAATTAACCTTAATAAGATAAGATTAATCTTAATTTTTTACGACAATATCTCTAGAGGCCTTTTAAATTGTTATTGTTTTTAAATATTAATTTTCAAACAAAATAGTTTTTATCATTGGTTTATTTAGAGCCAACGTATGTTTAGTAATATAATGTGAGAAGTTGTAACTGTTATAGTTAGGAAACTACTTAAAAAATATAATATATTGAAAAATTTTAAAATAATGTTTATATCTAATTTATGAAAGGCCTAGGGAACAAGTAGATAATTATGCAATTTGATATATTTAATATAGTTTGCAAAAACTAAGTTGAATTATATTTAATATTAAACATATATATAAAAATTTAAAATAATGAAAAATTCTAGTTTTATTATTATTTCTTAATCTCATGGGTCATGGCCATCATTAGGGGCAGAAAATGATGATCTTTCATTCTTCTTGCTTTTCTGCATTTTCGTAATTAAAAATCAGAAATAAAACATTTTCCTCTATGCATAAACATTTAAAATTTGTCAACTAATTCTATACATTATTCTTCGTCGACAAAAACCTCAAAGGACTAAGTCGAAGCTGCATTATAGTTCTCACAAACGGTATTTGTGGAACCTGTGAGGATATATATATGTTGTGTGTGCAGGTTAAAGATCAATTATCATAGATAAGTTGGTTTCGTTTTAGAGGCTAGCACAGTCGAAAACTTGAATCTGTCCATTTTTCAGGTAAATAATTGTTTTCTTTGTTCCTCTTTCCTCTGTATCAACACATGAGCCAATAATCAACCAAACTCCGGTTTTAACTTGTCTGCCTCTGGTTGATTCCCTGGAGTAGTCTCTATGTAGATAGGAAAGACCCTGAATTAGTTGCAACCTGCAGAGATCATAGTGAGCACAATAAGTTACAGTTTTTGTGAAGTTTGTATATTCTTCAAAGTAAAAAAAGCAGAAGAAAACTTAATAGCATACTGATAAAGCAAAACCCAACGTTGAACTATTCAGCTATAAAGCAGCACAAAAATTCAAATATTGAGCTGGAAAAAGAAGAAACAAATCATATAGCTGAACATAAAGTAGGAGTCACATAAAGAAGACGTAATCAAAGGCATGTATTATCTGTTACTGCACTCTTGTGTGTTTGCTTTCAGTGTTAAGATTTAGTTAGCAGGAAGTGTTGATGCTGCATATTACAAACTACTCTAAATCCACTTACATGATCACGCACTGTAGCTTTAGCTAAGGCTAGTTGAAACAGTTCTTATATAAAATGAGTGATGAAGCAATAAAGTGTTGTACAAAAGAAGCTTCCAAGTTGTAATAAAAGATGGACACATAGAGAGTTACCAGAAGTGTGGAACTGCTGTAAGCCAAAAACTTGTAAAAGCAACTGAAATCTGCAACACATCAAAACATCAAACTTTAAAACAGCGAAAAGAAGAGAAAGTGGTAGAAGAAGAAAGCAAAAGTCATCGTCTTTTAACTAATCACTTCTACTCATCACCTTCGCTAATGGCTTGATTAAACGCAGAGGAGAAACGGAGATGCCAAGTTGCATCTTGAAACTGTCGATGGATTGATCTTCCAACACGCTGATCGATGCCCTAGACATGAGGCTTCCACCCTCAGAACTCGAACTCTTCTCTGAGTTTGAATTTAAAGACATAGTGACAAAACCACCACCCCATCTCTTTGCTGGAATCTTCAAGATAACTCGATTTGAACTTGTCTGAGAAAGAGAAGGAATCGTTGTTGGAGGAACCGTAGAAATCAAGCCGGAAGAGTTCATAGCTAATGAATGAATTTGGTTTCCTACTGCAACTCTTCTCTTCTGTCCTCGATGTCCCCGCTTCCTTTAAGTTCGATCTCCGGTTGAAAAGCTTACGATCAGAAACTCGTGTCAAATTTCAGGCAAAATCCAACCTAAAAATCACAGTCTAGAACTTTATCAACATGCTTCTTAACATGAGATCATAGCACAAGTTTCAAAAGCTTACGATCAGAAACAAAACCCACAACACTCACTGGTCCAAGAAGAGAGGGTGTTATTAACGCTTCCACACTCCTCATTAAAATCAACGGCTCGATAAGAACATATGCTTATGCATGACTGCATCAAGACATCAAAATCATTTAAGCAGTAATAAACTTATGCAAGTAATTAAACTAAACTGAGACTTACACATAATCAAGATCTTCTCTGCCTTTAATCCGTGTCCTAATGCTTGATAGAGAGAAAGTGATAAATATCCCTGAATCGAAGACCCATATTCATAGCTTTAGATTCGTAGCCATGGAGGAAGGATGCTCTGATATCACAGAGGATGCACACCGATGGGAAGGAGAAGAGACGGGTAAGAAGAATCAGATTCTTGTATGGGCCAAACCTAAAACCGAGTTGGATTTGTGTTTTAGCAAGCGCAGTCCGCTAAACTTTTTGTCGGATAAGAAAAGAAAAAAAATAGGTACATCCAATGAGAGTGTGACACGTGTCGCAAAACCCCCCTATGTTAAAAAGTGACTTGGCTGATTGTGGGGGCAGATTTGTTTACTTTATTAGTATAGATTAGTGTTCATGAGAAGTTGAATTTATATAGTTGTAAGAACGTTTGAATAATATATTTGTGATAAGCTAGGTACTAATCAATATATGTTCATTCTTTTAGCTTTTATCTCTTGCTGAGGTTGTTAGTGATCCTTTTCCCATACTCAATGCTGGTGCTCCTTTCCCGATACTCAAGGTCAAAGCATTGACTCTTGATATAAATATTTCAGTATGTTATTCCTGGCATAGAAAGACTGTTACAAAACTCACCTGATTTAGAGAAACTAACATTACGTGGAAGGATCGCTTCCAAGTACCGGTATATTCACCATGAAACCTCTTATTTTTCCAGCTATATATATCATCATGATCTGAGTTCGAATGCATCCATGAACCAATTTTGTATTTTCTATTATACAGGAGGAGTTTGCTGGCAACTACTTGAAATCACAAGGCTTTAACGTGAGCAAATGCTGGAGATCAAAAGATGGAGCCTCTTGGAACAAGTGTTGTGAGGAATTGAAAGCTGAGCAGGTGTCTTCATTAGTGGAACTTGTGCTTAAAAACACTGAGAAACTAACAAGATGGTCGTATTGTTGGATGAACGTTACCTTAATTTTAAAATTGAAGACGTGGTGATTCCAACACTTCGTAACAACAAAAATGTCAACGTTGTGCTCTCCAATACCAAGTTGATGGCGTTAGAGAAGTGGTGAAATGAATCATAGGGGTTGAAGTCTTGAGTTTTCTTGAACGTTTGTTTATTTAAATAACTGGTGTATTTTATTTGATATTTTGAATCAAAGGGGTTGAAGTCTTGAGTCCTGACTAAAATACTATCTCACAATAACAATGTCCCACCAAAAATTTGAAACAGCTTAGTAAACTGTAGGCCCGTAGCTTATGTGACAAGTTTGTCACAGATTCATGCCAACACTAACTACATCAAACCCCATCAAAAATTAAAACGTCTTTTGGACTATATTAAGATGTATGATATCTTCTAAAATTTCTTTTTTATTGCAGTCTTTCTTACTACTCAAATTAGACATATTCAAAGAAACTTTGTACTCACCCGAATAATCTTTCACTCTTGAGCTAGTTTTTAGAAGTGACCATTCAAAAGTCAATGATGTTACGTACGAATATATCAACAATAAGTAGGATGAATACCTATTCACGTTAAACAACTCAACCTCATCCACACGGAAACATCTTATGAGAGACAAATGGCGAGACATTTAGAAGATGTAATTAGCATGGCGACAAGACAACAACACAGTTTCATGTTAGTTACCTTTTTCATGTTGTGCTCTTGGCTCTATTCAGCTGTTGTGTCCTCTCGGCTAAGTTACTCTCATGTGCAGACAGAGCATCCGACAACATAGCCACTTCCGGCAACACCCCTGCTGCCAGGGGTTGTGGAGGTGCCGGCTGCGGTGGTGGTTGTGGAGATTTAAGAGTTTTTTCGTCTTATCTTTCATTCTTTTCACAAATATAAGAGTTGGTTGTATCAAATCGTATTTACTAAAACAATTGCACATCTATTTGGAGGTTGAAATTTAACTATGATGCATATAGAATAACTAGCTTCTGTTTTTTCTTTAGTCACTTTCTTTCTAAACCGGGTAAACCGATCCATATCCCATACTGAAACCCAAATTTCAGGGGAGATTCATAACATAATCCATAAAAGAAACGTTCATTGTCTCATTGTCCTAATAGCCCCCAACAACACGACCAAGTTTCATGACAAAAGGAGAAGCAAAACCAAAACAAAATATGGAGTTACCATCAATACTACTTTATGGATCCGAAATCCGGAGTGAAAAAGGAGAACAAAAGTGTAAGGATCAATTAACTCAGAAACAGGATTGTATATCCTTCAACTCTCGACTGTAAACTTGCTTAAAAAAAAAGTAACCAAAAGACACAAAGACACAAGAGAATTATACGAGTTCAGGCCCTCAAGTATTGAGTAATAACCCTACGTCTCGACTGATGAAATCACCAGTTTTCACTATGATTTTTATCTTTCTGTGTATGAATCGGAAACGAATAATCCCTCTCTAGCTCCCACCTGAATTACGATTACTAGAGAGAGGGGATGTTAACCACATATGCCCTTTATAGCTCAGGGACTAATCACAACATTAAGCCGACTTAAAACTAACTAGATTTTGATCCGCGCTTAAAAGCGCGGAAATTTTTTTGATTAAAAATTTATATAATTAGGTTTTGTCTTTATTTAAAGTATGTTTGGTATAAAATCAGTAATCCAAAATTTGTGGTGATGATTGCTTTGCATTAGTTTTTAGTTTCAGTTTTTATTTTTAGATTTGGTTTTAGAGTTTGGTTTTTGGTTTTTAATTTTTAAGTTTCTAGTTTTTATTTTCAGCTTTTGGTTTGGGTTTTTAGCTTTTAGATCCGCTGAGTTAGTTTGAACTCATAATTACCAACAAACAAATCCCAAAGAATCGAACATCTAATTTAAAACTGAAAAGATGAGAATTTTTATTTTTTTAAAATGCAATAGTTTATTTTGTGTAAATAAACAAAACAAAAGCAAAAATATAACATGCATTTTCAGCTTTTGGTTTTAGATTTTAATTTTTAGATTTGGTTTTTAGTTTTGCTTTACATTTATTTTTTTAAAATCAGTAAATTATTTAAGAAAAATAAAAAATAAACTATAAAATAAAAAAATAAACTATTATAAAAGTTACCATTGAAATTTATCAAGATAGAGTGATTGTTATTTAAAATAAAAAAAAATATTAACATGTTTTAAAGTACATGATTTAAATAAGTAATTAATAATATATAATTTTGTTTTGTTAAAATAGTAAATACTTTTGGGCCTTAAAATAGTAGTTGATTTTTTGATCCATTAATGTAGAACATTTATTCAATGTTTTTTGAGTTTTTCTTTAATACTAAGCCCAAGACCCAAACTATATAATTTGTCATAAAAACAAAAGTAAGCCCAAAACTCTATTCCATAAATAACTGCCGGTTTAATTTAAGTAATGCGGTTCAATCAACTATATGACTTGTATTATTTGTAACACTAAAGAAAGAGGCCAAATTTAAATGATAACTTATATCAGTAGATAAAAGAAACGACTCTATTTTAATAGAGTAGATCATAAACCTTAAGCTTATCCTCTACTTGAAGTTTATCTTCTACTTGAACCGGCTAAACCGCCTTCTCCAAATAATTAGCTTAATTGACTTCTCCTATCTTGGTTTAAGCTTAACCGAGATTGTATTCATCACCAAAGCATTACAAAAAGCACGAACCAGGAAGAACTTTCTTCATGCGTTGATGGGATTTGATTCATTAGACCTCATGATCTTAGCTTGTAGTTTCTGCATAAAAGCTGGATTAGCTTGAAGACTATGTTTCACATAAGCAGTTCTTATGTCCTCAGCGATCTTGTTAGCTTTCGCAGCTTCCTCTATCAACCCGTAAAGCATCCTCAGACAGTCTGACAACAATTCATCTTTCACATCGTCTTTTAAAGGCTGGCTCTGCTCCGGGAAATGCGTCTTCATTTCCTTCGTTGAAGGAAAACAACTAGAGAGTGATTTTTGCTAGTAGAGACGCACATTGGTTTATTAATCAGCCAAAAGATGTAAGATGCTAAGGTAGCTAGGTCTAAAGGCGCACATAAGGATATCAAATAATTCCCCACACCAACATCTCTTCAGCACACCAACAACCTTTATGGATTTCTCTCTTTGTTTTGCTCTCTAACTTTTTTTAGATGTTCGGGTTCTAAAAGGGGTAAATCGATTTGGGAAAGATCAATAGAGGTTCGAGTCGGGTCATAGTGGCTTCGTCTAGGTCAGGTTGTGCCAATATCAACCAAAACCATTGGGTTTAGTTAATATCGGTTAACAGTATAAACTATCAAAAAAAAGCTCAATCTTCGTCTGTGTGGAAACGAGTTTTGACATTTCATTTTGGAGAGAAATAGGTTAATATATTTTAAATGTGTGTAATTCGGTCGTGGTTCAAAGTTTATGTGGATCTGTTGCTATACGATAGTTATAGTGTGGAAATAGATAGTTTACCCCAAAACAAATAAGAAGTTTTTTTTTTCTTTTGATTAACCAGGGGATATCCAGACCTATGGAAGGGCTTAGACTAATCCCCAAAGGGAGATGCAATCCATGGATAGATCCTTTCTCCGGGTATTCAAATGTACCGAAAACAGGAGCCCATATCAATGTGGATGTCTAGAACAATGTGACTTAGTTTCGCGTAGCAGGTGGATCGAACATAAAACATGTTAGCATCCCAAACCCTTCCTCTTACTACTCGATCACTAGATCCTAGACAAATAAGAACCTGAAGAAAAAAAGAAGAAGTTACCATCACTTCTTTATGAATCCCATAACCAGATCTACAGATGGTCCTTAAAAGACAATCAACTTCGATTCTTTGGTGAAATGATAACAAAAGCACGAACCAGGAAGAAGTTTCTTCATGCATTGATTGGATTTGATTCTTTAGACCTCATGATCTAGGCTAGGGTTGGGCAAAAATTCCGAATCCAAAAAACCGAATCCAATCCGTAAAATTAGTATGTGATGTGATCTTGACCAGTTCATCCATCCATCCACAAAGAACCATCCACAAAGAGCCATTCACAAAGGCGCATCCACAAAGATTCATCCACAAAGAGCCATTCACAAAGGGGCATCCACATAGAATCATTCACAATAGGCAATCCGATGGATCACTCAGATTTTCTTTGGTTTCTACTGATCCAATCCCATCTATTATCAGTTCTAAGTCATGTTCTTGATCCAGACCTCTTAGGAAAGCCAAAGAAACCTTGCTGAACGAATGGGCTATTTTTGGCTATTTTTGGGCCGAAAGGGAGTTACTAAGGTTTACAACTTTGGTGAAGAAATAAACAGGCTCTTCTTTGACATATTTTCGTCCAAGAAAATCCAGGGAGTGCCAGCTTGAGTCAAATACGTGTGGGAGGTCAAGAGTCAGTCTAAGTCTTCAGTCAAAAGTCAAGTTTATGTTTTCTACATCTTGTTTTCAGCATTGTTTTCTTAGTCTTTCCAACTTCATTTTCGGTTTTCTAAATATGTAAAACTCTTATAAAAAGGCCTAAGTTGCCAAGAAATAAATCAGACTTGTTTGATATTAAAACCTTTGTGTTTAGATAGTGATTCTCGTTAGTTCCTTGTGAACATTTTGATCTTTGGTGGATTCCAAGAACAAACCGGTTTATCAAGATATTCTTCATCATATCTTGTGGTGCCATTCAAACAGCTGAAGATCAGAGAGGTGCCCTAAGTTAGACTCTGGGTGTTGGGTCTAATATACTCAAGGTTCAAGCCACACGATCTCTCCAATCCGAAGTTCCATCGCCTATCTCTTTGAAGATCGTCCTAAGTGAAGTATTGTGCATTGGGTTTAACATACCCAGGGTGCGTGCTCCACGAACTTTTAAGAGACAAGGATTATCCATACCTTCCTCAAGTGGACGGAACCGTGCCTAGGGTTCTATCAGTACGACCCGAACCGAAACTGAATAAATATCCGAACGGGTTTAAAATTTTGGTATCTAGAGAACGAAAACTGAACTCGATCCGAACCGCAATATTTCGGATACCTGAATATATCCAAATCAGATTTATATGCTTGAATATACTAGTTATTATTAGACTTATCATCCAAATTATATCTAAAATATTTGATAATGTATACAAATAGTCAAAAGTAAATATCTAAAATAGTTAAACAATACCCAAAACACCAAAAATAATTAAAATATCTATTGAAACTCCATCCAAATATTCAAGCCTAGCCAATATTTATGTTAAATTTATATACATTGGCATACATTACTAAAATTTATATATTATATATTATTTTATTTTATATTTTGGTAAATTCAAAAGTATAGATGAATTTAAAAAAAATTAAAATTTTAAATGGGTTATCCGATTCCACCAAGATCCAAACCAAACCCGAACATAAATTTATAAATACCAGAATGGGGCTGAAATCTTTAGCCAAAAAAACCCAAAACCCGAATGGATCCGAACCAAACCCGAAGGAATACCCGAACGCCCACCCCTGATCTTGGCTTGTAATTTCTGCATAAAAGTTATATACATACTACATGTTTTCATGCATCATGTGCAACGATAAATCTTCTAAATTGCAATTCTAATCAAAATTAAATTTTCTTTTAGATATTATTATTATACCAATACTTTCATATAAATATTGATTGTGCTAATTATATAAATATTGATTGAGTTAATTATATAAATATTGATTTTGTTAAACATAAAATAAATAATTTGATTTATTGAAAACTATATTTAAGAATACATATGTATATATATTTAAAATTATAATTTTGGAGAGATTTTTTATTTATTTCTTTGGGTTAGGATATATTAAATGAACTTGTATAAAATGAAAATGATATAAATTGTTTATTATTATCAAAATATAAAACTAAAAATCAAAATTCTAAAATTTGTAGATATGAAAAGAAAACAAATGATAGTATAATTAAAGATAAACCTTTTTAAAAACATTGTATAAAATTTTAAAAATCTTGTTAAGTAATAAAAAGTTA